GGGGGGGGGGGGGGGGGGGGGTGAGTGTAAATATTTTAACCACCAACTACAAAATATTTGAACTAAATATAGAGTAACTGTACTTGAAGGCTGTTGTGCTTCTGTACTATTCTCGTCTTTCTTTCCCTTTTTTGCTTGTACAGGCTGTTCCACCACCAAACTTTGAGATGCCAGTTTCTATCCCAGTGTCCAACCACAACAGTTTGGTATACAGTAACCCAGTCAGCTCACTGGGAAACCCCAATCTTTTGCCGCTGGCTCATCCTTCTTTGCAAAGAAATAGCATGTCTCCTGGCGTGACACATCGGCCTCCAAGTGCAGGTAACACAGGTAGGCTCTGTTCAATCCCATCCCTTTAAATGCTTTTTTATCAGCTGCTCGTGTGCCTTAGGTCACTTTAAACTGTACTCTGAGAAACAAGAAGTCTGTTTTTACCAGTCATAACAGTTTGTCCAAAATTGCTGTGTTGAAAAATCAAAAGAAGAGCCAAAGGGGTTTCTATTCCCAATTTAGAAAAAAAAAAAAAAAAAAAGTTCTAGAAAAAGCTGAATATTGACTAAGATTAAAGGAAATCAATAAAGGATAAAAGGGCAGACAATTTGCTGTTTCATAAAAAGCCAGCTTGTCTGCTTAATTCATACAAGAACTGAGTATACCATAAAGCTTAAGGGGGCCGGGGAGAAAACCTAGCCAACTCAAACAAGTTGAAGCAAGTAAAATAGGACACTCGTTACTTAAATCATCAGTCTAGAGCCTAAATGCAGAATTTATTATTATTTATGCATTCACAAGTTCCTCAAAGAGTAAATGTTAGTTGAGCTCTCCACTTGAGTGCCTTGTCTAGCAAGAGGCTGCGCTTTACTCTGGTGATGATGAGGGCTTACCTCTGGATAGGATAAATAGGGATTAAGTTTGTTCAGTCTGTCTGGCTGAAGCAACATCAAGATCCTTCAGGATACTGGGTTTAAAGAACCATTTGAGGTCCCCAAGTGCAAAGAGGAGTTTTAAACATCCTTAGAGTGAATGTCTGTGAAAGGCTGAGAAAATTAAAATAAAAAGCTATGTAAATATGTTCTATAGCTTCTCAGTTATATTCTCGTCCAGGAACTTTGAGTCTCTTCCTCCCAATCCTGTGTGGAAGCCTTTGCTTTTCTGACTAGTCCTGAACAAAAGACAGCTTTCAGCTGAGGGACTACGATACAAAACTTACAGATATAATTGATTTTTCATATGTTGTGAAAGTATGAAACGTCGTGTGCTACATTTTTTGTTTGTCCTTGAAAGACAAATGTCCTGTATGGGTAAATTAAACATTATGATTTTATGACTGTGGGTCTGATCCAATGCCGGTTGAAGTCAGAGGAGAGCTGCGGTGGGTACTGGAGCAGCACGTCTGAAGTCAGAGAAAATGTTTTGAATGTTTGCCTGTTATAAATTATCGTCCTCATTTGTAGTATTTCATTTCAACCCCCTAGGTGGCCTGATGGGTGGGGACCTCACAACCGGTGCAGGCACCAGTGCAGGTAAAGAGAAAATAATTTATTTTTATGAGTGAACAAAGGACTTCCTTCAAAGGCTGAGTCCTAAAATAGCTCCATATTGGAGGTGGGGTATTAGAAAGTGATTGGCATCGGGTTTTTTCCTCCAGCTGAGGGAAGGGTAGTTGATACTTGTGCTTCTCTTATTAGTAGGAAGAGGCTTGTTTTCAGCAATGCCAAAAAAACTTGCACCTCAACAAATTCCACAGGTACAAATGTCTCTTTTCCTTCACATTAGCCTTTCCGGGTCCATTGCGTAGCCCTGTTGAGGCAAAACTCCTACTGAGGCCAGCGTCAGAACCCCTGATCCTTTTTAAGTCACAGGGAGATTTTCCACTGACTTTACTGAAACTGGAGTTTTGTTGTATGAATTTAAGCTCGAGCAAAAATTTCAATATTAAGTTGCTCATTAGGCTTCAATCTACTGGGTACAGATTTGATTTCAAGCCCCTGCTCTAAGACCATTGTAGTCAGCAAAATCTGTTGGCATTTACTTAAATAATCAGTAATTAACTTAAGCTTAGTTTTATGTATTTGCTTAAGTGCTTTGGTACACAACGGGGAAAGGATTTTCAAAATACCCATGCAGAGAAAAAGATTAGCCCCTTTAGTCCTGCTCCCATAGAACTAATGAGAACTGTACTCGCTAAGGTCTGTGTTATCAAAGCAATGTTGTCAGAGTAGTCCCCTTTGCTCAGTAAACTCAGTGGTTTGTTAGCAATGTCAGCAATGTTGCATTATTACAAATACGGATTACAAAAGACAATGGCAAGATTACTGTTTCAGTTTGAGAAGTAAACACATATGTTCGAAGAAAATAAGCCGAGTGGTAAAACATGGAGCACATCCAATTTTACTGGGTTAACTGCTCTCAGAAAGAACTGTATGGAAAAATAGTTGGAAGATCCATTTTGTGCACTATAAACCGAGGCTGATATACATGCCAATTCTGACGTTGTCTCGTAAAATTACTTATAAAGAAATTCTGGATATAGTGATCTTTTCTTTCTTGGCTCTTCTCAGCCTGTGTTAGACCACCACCACCACCCCCCTTTTATCTTCACGCATAGATGAGTCACAGATGTTTGTGTGATGCATTTGTAGTAAAATTGAAACTGCACAGCATTGTATCAGAAAGGCACTTCAAACACATGCTGAAGCTTTGAGGGGTCATTTTGTATTAATTTAGGAGTAGGGAAGGCAGACCACGGCAACTTAGCTATTAGTCTCCTTTGTTCTCAAAAAAAAAAAAAAAAAAAAAAAAAAAAAAAAGAGAAAGCATGATAGAAAATTATAGTTTTGTTAATTATCTTTTGTGAGCCTGCGAAACACAGCTAAAGAAAGATTCATTCTGGCGGTGTGAGCATTCCATCTCCTTTTAACTTTATGTAGTAGAAACTTCAGGAACGGCAACGGAGAGACGCGGATGGGAAATCGATTGCCCTATTAAGGGGCTCCCTCTCCTGGCTTTTGCAGAAATTTCATTGCCTCGTTACTGGTTTCCCGGTTCCTTTAAAAAATACGCTGGAAAGCAATTAGTAAAGAAGGCAATGTTTTCTTTTAAAAGGGATCCGTACTAAAATAAAAGTTCACCCACACATAAATTCGGCTTAATAATCCTTGTGCTTAACAAAATCCGTATATCAGTACTCCAGTTGAAGATTTATGTTCTTTCTAAATACTTTTTCTTTTTCTTGGAAATATGTTATAAGCATATATAAGCATAGGAAGAGGAACAGCTTGATTATTTACACACAAATTAAGAATCTGTATTTCCTGCACGCAGTGTTATGCATTAAGCTCTCAAGCGATGTAACTTTGGAGTAGGCAATTGATTTGAGGAGCATATATATGAGGGACATTGCTAGGAATGCATCATAAATATTTAATCGTATGAATAGTCTTTGTTCTTTATCTGCAATAAGAGCTTTAAACACCATTAAAGAAGTGTTTTCTAAATCTCTTAAATGCAGAGCAGTAGGAAGAATTTGATACAGGGCTGAAGGAATTAAAAGGTCACTATAAGGTTGAATCTTCTGTCTTGGTTGCATCATTCCACAATGGCACTATTTTGGACAGTCCTCTTTCTTTAGGGTGCAGAAGAATAAACATCAAAAGTTCTCTTTGTTCATCATTCTTCAGAAGAAACAGAGACCTCTGTGTTTCCTTCTGTTTGGCATCTTAGAAGCTGGTAGCATGATCATGTGGTTTAATCTGTTGGGGTTCATATTTCTGGCCAAATTAGAACATTATGAATTTGCATTTTTCTGCAGTGTCCAAAAATAGTATATATTCAAAATAACATATTTCGAGAAGAAGAGTCTGAAGAGTTTCATTTCTGCCATTATAAAATGAAACTACTTTTAATTACTAGCACCAGGCCTCAGTTTCTGCACGACTTTAACAAACTACATTATAACAAATTGCATTATAAGTGCAGTATCAGAAATGGAAAAAGATTAGTTGATCCTGTGTTTTGAGAAGTATGTTATTTTGTTGGTCTTCATTATTTCAAGTAATAACCCTGAAATAATCCACAGTTTACCTTGGGAGTCAACCCAAAACATAAATAGAACTTTTAAAAGCTGACTACTTCTGTATTATCCTACACAACTAAATACCATCAGTGGTATTTTTAAGTTAAACCAAGGTTATCTCAGGTTTGTTAAAGTAAATTTGTTCTTAGCCAAACACTGATTGAATAGTTTCTATCATGTGATAGTAGCAACTGCCAACAAAATTGGGGTGAACTTCACATTTAGTATAGTTGCTAAATTAGAAATACAGCAATCTCTTTGGCACTGTTTTCTCAAACCAGAGGCTTTTAATTGAAAGAGAGAACAAGAACATTTTGGACCCAAATTGGTACGCTCTGAAACCATTCTAGCTTACCCTATAACTAATACAAAGACTAAGTGACATTACCTGTTTATATGACAGACTGTCTAAAGTTCTTTTAACCTTTAGGGAGCATAGTCTTTAACAAAACAGCTTAACTGCATCTTCACCAGAAATAAATAATGTCTATGAAGTTTTAGTACAGTAAATGACCTGAACTCAAGTTTTCTTCAGTGGCTCAACACGTATGTCGAAAGCCTGATAAAAGGTTAAAACTTTTAATATATTGTAATAGTTTTAAAATGACAGTATAACAGTATTGGGGGACATCTCTCTTTGCATCTGTACTTTAAGCTTGATTTTCAAACTGAATTATTTTTTTGGGTTTTTTTATATGGTTTTCAGATTATGACATTTTGTATTTTATAATTCAATTTTCTTTTGACTGGAATAAGTCCATCTAAACAAAATACAATTTGTTTATAATTTAAACCATTGTAAATAACAAAATCAAAGGCAAAATTCAATCTCACATTTTAAATCCAGGATGGGTATAATAAAAAATACAGTTGCTCTAATTGTTTATTCACTTTCTGTAGTTTGTTTGTTCTGATATTTGATTTCTGTACTGCCTCTATCTTGCCATTAACAATAAACTAAAGGAGCAAGTTATTCAAAAGTACTTGGGACTCTGCAGATGCTGTCAGAGGGACTCATTGCTTGTTCTTAATCAGCCATCCTCAAGCTACGTTTAAACCTGTTCTTTAAAATCATTAGGAACTAAAAAGATCAGTAGTGCATTCTGAAAAATTCATCCCATGTCTTTTTAATAACTGAATCCCATATTTACCTATAAATCAGCAGCTAGTCATTTCCTACTGGAAATTAACCACAAGCTAACAGTTGCCTTCTCATCTTCTGAGGGCTGAGGTCCCGGATCTGCCAGCCAGTATCATAATTTGCTAGTGCTTTCCTGCTCCTTTTTCTTTTCTTGGTCATGCACTGACTGTGGGTGAGTGTATTATATATTCTACTAGTATTTCAAGACACATGGGAGTATATGTAATAGTAGGTTTTTTTAATTTATAAACCCTCAGGGTAGAGGCAATCTGGATTGTATCTTCTCAAAAAAAAAAAAAAAAAAAAAAAAAAGAGTTATTTACTAAAAGGAAGCAATCTGCCTAAATAAGCCTACAAGCAGTACCAAAAATAAGCAAGGATTTCAAACGCACCTGGTTGCATTAGTGTCTTTTGAAATTATAAATATAAATAAATAATAAAAGTAAAAAATAAAGAATTAAAAGGCTACATAAATATTCTCCACTGTGCCCTGAAATCATGCTTGGCATAGTCAAGGGAAGATAAATCTTGGGCTAAAAGTGTAGAATATGTTAAATAAACAAGTGATCTTAGAACAATGATTCCCAAACCACAGTTTATGGACAACCTGTTAGAACTGGGTTTGCCAGGGAGAGCATGGTAAGTCATTGCCCTTCCCTTACTACTTGATGAGTGCAGTCACCCACAGACCTCTGATCCAAAGATTGGGCAAGATGTGGTACAAAAGTATAGTAAACAATAGTTCCTGTCCAATGAAGTTTACAGTACAAAAGAAAGAACGGGCAGTCATTCATAACAGAGTTCGTGATGCAACAGTGCCAAATCCAAACAATAAGAATTCATAAATTGGCAGGTTGGCTTAAAACCGTGGAGGGGGATAAGAAATTAAAACCATAACAGCTTTCCTTTTCTCTTTTTCCACTCATATTATGCCATTAAGTGTTCCTTTTCCAAGCTTTCCTCCATGTAAGGAGGGTATATACTTCCCCACCCCCCCCCAATGTTTTAAGGGAAATACCTACAAGTAGGAGATTTATGATAAAACAGGAGAAACACTAGAACTTGTTCGGCAGCTCTCATGCATAGTATGAAGGATATAGTCTATCTAGCAGTACCTGAATTTCATAACTATGTAGGCAGTCCTCACAAGCCTTTTCAAAATTAAGTCCTCTTCCTGCCCTCAGCAACCGATCTGTTTTTATACAGCTTATTCATTTCATACAGGGAAAAATCACATCAGTGAAACTTTGAGAATAAGTTTGAAAGGACAGATGCTGCTGTCCGTGTAAAAATCGAGTCTTGCAATG